CAGCGGTCGATCTCTGGCGCGAGGTTGACATCTACACAACGTGCGCAGACCACTTTCCTCATATCTTGTTTGACATTTTTGGTGACGATACTTCGCATTGTTTGAAAGCTCCCTTTCCCTCATTGGCGTTAGTTGTGATAATGGCTGGCCATGTCGATTGCATCTATCGCATCGCAAACACCGTTGTGTGAGGACATTCACAGGAGGTACCTAATCTGCAGTGACTATGTCAAGCCCGGGCGTCTCGATGTATGAGCAAGGCGAGGAGTATGGTGGAGATGCAGCACAGGAAAGGAGCCTAGGAGGACACAGGAAAGTCCTTTGTTGCTGCGTAGGAGCTTTGCTACTTTGTTCCCTTTTCATCTTTTCGTGTAAAGTTGCTACGTGCTCATCTTGCCCCTCGGTTGCTCCTATTCTAAATGACACCAGGAACCGCAAACCTTCCTGTCTCATCGCACCTCACAAGATGTTTCTTGTGAGACCTGTTAACAACGTCTAGATTTTTTGGATGGTCTTCATAATAACATGAGGAAACTGCCTACTAATGCTACACATACACACCAGACCAACCCTTCAACACCGTGACTCAGACCCACGAGCCCTCCTGCACCACTCCTTGCCAGCCCTGAATCCACGGTTGCCACTCCGATCTGGCTGCCGCTCCCCGTTGTTTCCGCAGCAACAGACGTAGTAGCAGCAGACGCGCTCGGGCGCAGTGTCCCTGACGTCGTAGCCGACAAGACTGATGCGGCCGCGGTCTTCGATACCGCTGCAGGGCCGCCACTACTCACATTGGTAGCCGCCACGGTACTGGCAGCGGCAGCCGCCAGGAAGTTCGACACGCTCGTGTAAGCCGGCTTCTTGGTGAAATTGGCGTCGTACAGACACGCGTCGCCCTTGCCGGGGAACGTACTCGGTATCCAGCTGTACTTGTCGGTGAACTCCCACACCACGATGCCCACGCACTTGGCGACCGCCAGACAGGAGCCCACTACCGTGACGTAGTCCTTCGCCTGCTGCTGCAAGGCAGTCGCGTCAGCAGGCAACTTCGTGTGCGCTATGTCGAGCTCCGTGTACGCGACTTCCAGTCCCAGGGCGGTAAATCGGTTCAGCGTGGCTGTCAGAGCCGTCTGGTTCGGCGTGCGGCCGACATCGAGGTGCGCTTGGAAGCCCAGCCCGTCGATGCGGACTTTGGCCGCCTGGAGGAGCTGGACGATGCGTACCGCCCCATCCGCTTTCGCTTTACTGGTCTCGAGGTTGAAGTCATTGTAGTATAGCTTTGCGGCCGGGTCTGCGGCGGCCGCTGCCGCGAAGGATATGGGGATGAAGTCTGTACCAAGCACCTGGAAGAAGACGTCGTTGCGGAGGGTGCCGTTCTCGTTCAGCGCTTCGTTGACAACGTCCCAGCTGTAGCACTGCCCCTTGAAATGGCCGACAACGTTGGAGATGTGCGCTTGGATTGCTGCTGTCAGGGTCGCTCTGGTCCAGTTTGTGGTTTGCACTGATATCCAAGTTAGGCCACGAGGCACCTACATACGAAGCAACGGATAAATAATCCTTACCAAAGTCGGGCAGTTGACTATGCCATGTCAGCGTGTGGCACCTCAACATCTGTCGATTTGCCTTGGACGTCAGAGCTACTCGGTCCGGATTCGCAAAGACAAACTTGTTCTCCGTAGGTTCGGTCGGCTGCCACTTCTGGCTGTTTTCCGGTACTCTGATACCGAATTCATTGCTGTTGTTCGCAATCGTCAAGTACGGAATATCGTTGAAGAGATTCGTGTCTGTCGCCGTGCCGAAGAACAATTTCCCTGAGGCGGCGAAGAGGGAGTGAAGGCCCGGTGTCTGGGACTGAGCCTCGACGCCCACGATGGCTCTGACCAGCAGGCCTACTGCGAGGTGTGTGTACCTCATCGTGCTTCTTCTGTCCAATCCCCTGTCCGCATATGAAACAACTTCGGATTCGACGTGCGGTAAACAAACGGTGTGTTACACGGCGAAAGATTCCTTGTCTTCATACAATCGTTTTCCCAGCTTCCCCGCAATGATGGACATCGCGGAGAATTTATCTTTTTTTTGTCGACATGGCGCCTTCTCATCGGCGGGCGCGCTGCCCACAGACATCTGTGTAACAAATGCTTCCACGGAACTATCGAGATTCCATCGTCGATCGTTCACGTTTCACCTCCGACATGGGTTCTCAGCCTGTCATATGTCGACGACAAGCTGTCAAGATGTTCAACGCATGAATGCATCGCATTCACAAACTCTGTCTGCCGTCTGATACCGAAACCTCGTGCACGTCCAAACTTACCCCTGAAATCCGATTCGAGCGTAGCCCATAACCCTAACCCCGCCACCAACACATGCAGAGCACCTGAAAATTGACGATGCGATGTAAGTCTAGGTGATCACCGTGACTTCGGGTTCAATAATTGCATAGTGCTCATCTTTGAACCTAAGTGATATTCTGGTTGCTTGTGATTTGCAGCTCAGACTGTCGGCTGACCTGCCTAGGACCACCTGAACGCCTACAAATCCTCGCAGCGATTTTCGCCAGCAGTTTCCGCATCGTCTCAGACTACGGCTCATGTTGACACTTGCGATCACAAGCACCGGAGACGTCAATATCCCGTGTCCTCTCCCACAAACAAGTCACCGGTTGTCAGAGCAGGAGTCGTAGTGAATGCTACCAGCGAGTTGCTGATGTTGTGCAATTATCTGTTTGCTCACGATTCAGAACAGTCTCAAGGTGTCTAGCCAACCATCTATCAATTATCGGGCCATCTCTTCCGTCTCAACAAAAAGCATCTATGCAATTCTACCCCCAGATTACCACCACATTGCCAGCCACACAATCTCTAATAGACAATAGGAGCTCCTCCTGGCAGTGTTGGGATCCCTTTGCAAGGTCTACTGTCAGCAAATGTCTACTCATGCTAGGCCAGGGCAAAACTTACAGCCTTCAATGTCCTCTTTCAATGTTTGTGGCAAGGTGCAGGAGGCAGCGGCGTCGGAACTCTGCGTCTTGAGGACGTTGGGACATGAGTCCCCGGTGCAGCGGTTGTCCATCGCCCGTTGGAGAGCGTCGTCTTTCCAGCCGAATATGTAGTCACCGTGTTGTCCAAACCCGGTACTGCAGAGCACTGTCAGTCCTAGACCCTTACTCATTCGCTATCAGGATCGCGGGTAGTAGATGGTAAGAACTTACGCGTCACCCATGCTGTATACGAACGGCTGTTTCCCCTCCTCCCATTCTTCCCGGTTAAACTCTCGTGTGTCCCACATGATCTCGTACATCAGCTGGGGAAGCTTGACCGGATGACTGGCCGGGCAAGGTCCCGTAGTCTCAAAGGACCCGGTAGCTGGATATGAGACATGCGCCCTGTGGTCCGGGCTATCGAGATTTTTGCCATCCCAGCATCTGCGAGTCTGTTAGCACTTCAGGTCGGCCGAAGCAGGGCAGGGCAGCACTTACGTTGGGAAGGTGATTGTTGTCCGGATGCCACCTTCACACTTCTGCAGCGGCAGATACGAGGTGTCGTTGCCGGTGCAAGGCGCACCTCCAAAAGGATCCTGCTCGATGTTGCTATAACATCGGTGGCAGAGCTGCTTCTGCTGTCCGTCTGCCTTTCGGAGCATGGCGTCGCCGACTAGCATTCGGAACCCCTGAGAAAGTCGGGTTAGATTGATCCGAGGAGGGTACACAGACCGTCTCGGCCTAACCTAGCTGAACCTACCTGCTTGAACGCCGTTACTTTTGTCTTTCCGTCGTACGGTGGGATGTAGTACACCGTAATGCCCTCATTCCCCTTCAACCCGAGGTTGACCATCTGGGGAACTCTCTTGAATGACCCATTCCGTGCTTGGAAGTAGAGATTGGCGGTCCAGTAGTTCGAGAAGTCCTCGCTGAAAGTGCAGCTGGTGCAGGTCGACTCCTTGGCGGGATCCATCAAGGCAGGATCCATGCTAGCGTTGAAGGAGTTGCCCCCGACGATCTGGTGGTTGTGCGGAGTGCCAACTACACCGGGGTTGACCAAGGGGTCGAGCCGTTCGATAACGAGTTTCGAGCATCCGAACCGTAGCATTGCTGCCGTAGCACAGCATCCTGATGGAGGCGTTCCCAATTGCGCCACGGTGTTGCTGGCATAGAGCCCAGTGACGAGGGCTGCGATTTTCAGCTTCATCGTGTCCTGAATTCAGGTTAAGATAGGAAGTGTGACTCTTCTAGTGGTGCAGAGATTACTTAGACTACTTGGCCTGGAGAGTGGACAAATAGTGTTGAGATCGGGATGGGAGCTCCCTCACCCATACATATTGACAAAGGGAAGTCAACCGGGTGCCCAGCTCTTCTGGCAAGTATAGACCCAGATTCCCGGTCGATATAGTACAGTAGATCATGAAAGGAGATTCTCATTTACACCTCTTTGGCAATATACTTGTGGTTTACGTGATTGGTCCTTCTCTGCCTCTGCCGCTCGTTGGGCACTATTCGGATAAATCAGCTTATATTCACCGCGACAGAAGGCTAGAATCTCATTGGCTTATGGCGTCGTTGATTAGAGCCTCTCACTTTCAAATAACCTTCCAGAAGGTCTCTTTAATTGCAATTGCTCCCTTCGACCTTCCTGTTCGCCTACATCGAGCTTGGAGCAACGGGCGAGAAACGGGGAAACAAGTACCCTTTCGCGGAAAAGATGGCAAGCTGGAATGTGGACCGAGATAAGCAGATGATGCAAGTTTCATATCCTGGAGCCCTGACCACTCTTATGATAGTGTGTATCATGAGCCTCAGATTTCAATCGAAACTGTGACGAGAGTTTCTGCTGAACTGTATCGTATATGACCTGAGAATGAGCTCCTCAGCAGTCGTCAAAACGACGTACTTCATGATATTTAGACATTTAGTCACGCATGCAAAACACCAGCTCAACTCAACGACTGCTGCGTCACTCAACGGCACAAAAACCTTCTCCTAACAGCTGAGAAAGCAAAAGTGATGATCCATCCAGGGGTCGAACCTGCACTCTCCTGAATCGTAGTCAGACGCCTTGCCATTGGGCCAATAGAGAGTTGATAAGCTGGTAGTAGGCCAGGGGTGATTGTCGAGTCAGTTCGTCGTGGAGATCTGTGTGTTCTCAGCAGGCTTATCCTGGCGCACAACGACCCATGCATATATTAGCGCTAATACTGCTATAGGTTGAGTAATCAGTAATAGTATTTCATCCTCAAGGCCCCCATACATGCTCAACATTGTCACCTAGGTACATAGCTAGCTATTGGAAGGCATCGTCAACGTCTCAGTGCCTGCTCCACGGCACGCTTAGTGTTTGTAATACGTGGCTGGGCCAAAATGTTGTACAATGAACCTGTTATGGCTCGCATAAGGACGGTTTTTGCTCCCCAGATCTCCCTGACCTTGTCCATCGTCGACGAGATTGACCGTCTTCACAAGTACCCTACAGCACACCAATGGGTCATGAGTTGCTGACTTGGTGTAAGTAACACCGGAACACTTGCCATTAGTACAAACTCGTCAATTATCTTCATCTTAGCCGACATCTCTATGTGCTGAAGGCGGAACTCGATGGTACGAACACAAACATCGGTGTAATTATTACGTGGCCGCCTCAGTCTTCACCGCGCGGGTCAGTTCGGCCTTGGTATGTAGCTTAGTATTTTTGACAACAGCAGAAACACAGGTATTGTTGCTCCCCTTGTCGTGTCCACCTACTAGAATACTTTCGTCTACCTCTCAGATTAAAGTTTGACATGCTCATTTTTCGTTGAACAATGGAAACACCAGCCTCTCTACCAAGTACTAGTCAACCTTAATATCGCTACCATAGTTTTGGATGTAATCCATATCTTGATCAGTCCCATGCCTTATACACCGAGGACTGGAAGGAAGAAGATAGCAGTTGCTAAGATAGTTCTAATCGGTGCTGGTAGTATGTCATCAACAATAAGTTCATTATCACTTACGTGTGCTGTAAGGCTACCGAAAGACTTAGGTCTCTAAGTGTCTAGAATTTGGGCTTTGGATTATGCTGATACATGTTGGCCGGAAGAATGATGATCAATGACACCACTGCTGTCATGTCTGCTTACTGTGGTTGCGAGCCAAAGTTTAATCACCCTGTCAGGTATCTGTGGGGCGCTTGCACGGACACCAGCACACTGCTCCTCTACAAAATATCTGAGGTACATACACTAATTTCAAGCACATTAACTGTAGAAATTTTAGCGCTACTTGCGGGTCCGGTTTTACTTACCCATCCCACCACAGTAGACTATGAAGCACATACGACTATCGATATAGAGCAATTATCGCCCGAGATGTATGAGTCTATAACCCTCAGAGTTGCTCACCGCATTCCTACTAGCGCTTTTTCTACGAAGACTTCGAGGCCGTATGTGAATCATAGCATATAGTCAGGGTAACAGACAGGAATATAGTTGCCGTTGCTATAGGCTGAAGGGACAGAAAGGGAGTTGCTCGTACCTAAGGTCATAGATATGGCAATGCTAGACATACTTGGGGATCACGTTTATCTTCAACTCCAGCTTCTTTGACAATACAAACACCACGCTAGAAGCCCCTAATTCGAATAGTCGCTGAAGGGTCACAGGATTATTGGGGTAAGAGGCTGAGTAAAATTACGAGGATAGGGGTATGTTAATTCTAAGTCTTATAGATCGCATTACTGTCAGAAAAAAGCGTCCAATCAACGGTCTCCTCTTGGTCGTTGGTCAGCTCTGGGGTCTGTTGGTCTAGCGGTATGATTCTCGCTTAGGGTACACCCTAAAGCTTAGCTTGCGAGAGGTCCCGGGTTCAATCCCCGGACAGACCCAATCATTTTGCTCTTGAGGTGACAGCTATTGTGCTCTTGAAGTAACTCAACTCCCTTTTTGTACTGAGTGAGTGAACTAGTCAGTTTGATCTGTGAGTCAGGGTTGTTCAGTAACGAGACGCACAGAAGTGATCGACTAAGCTCCCATTGTTAAAGCTTAGACCTGTGTTATGTTGTAAAACTTTCATTTGCACTTGTGTAAGTGGACTGACTGCCTAACCGCGGGCGGCACACTAACACCAGTTGATCTGCCATCAAGTCACGATACGCTATCTTTGAAGCTTAAAGATTTCGATATCGGCTGCTGTTTCACTCCCAATACTTGATATCATCAAAAGGGCACAGTATTGCATCTGTCGGAAACTCCTGTAAGGATTCTAAGGAAAGGAGAGTCGTATCGCCGTTGAATTCGACGAGATACGCTACCGAGTCCTGCTCAGGAATAAATCTATTGTCATCCTCATCTCGCGTACCGTGTCATGGTCATCTCTGGTACCGTGTGGGCAGGCATCCCGATGGAAGTCGCTCGGAACGTTGAACAAGAGGTCGGTGGGCGACGAAGACTAGACACGACTTGCAAGCCCCTGGTGGAGTCCCGGGAAAGCATCGTGAGAGTCCCGAAGTCGTTATGCGCCGCGATGCGGGTTGCTGTGCCAATTTTGAGCCTTGCGGCAAACGTCACGGGGTAGTGAAGCTGTTGGCACATGTTCTTAACCCATGATTGGAGAGATTAAAGATGTGAAGCCGAACTACCAAGACCACGGGCGAGTGCGGAGAGAACGTGAGGCTCTATCTCGAATTCACTGGATAGAAACGTATCTCGGCTGCGCCTCGTCCAGCTTCTTAGCACATCAACGAATTGCTGATGATACTCCCTTCTCTAGCACAGTGACCTTGGAGAAGGTCTTTACTAACGTGAAGGCTTCTACTTTTGGTATTGACCTATCGCTAATAGGTTCCGACGTGTTGGTCAAGGCCATAGACGTCTCGTGGTTTATTTGTTAACCCTTTCTTGTGGGCACTGTGCCCGATCCTACGTAGAATGTTACGCATGGCTGCTCCTTTCTGCTCGCGGAGTGCTAGAAGGATCTGGTAAAAAGTCTTATTGATAGCTGGGGGAGCCTGTGTAGCAATACGGTTGTTATATGTGGTGGCCAGACCCTAGATCGCATTGCCCTGAGTTGCGGAGTTCTGCTTGGGGAAGTCACCGCTGATGTCCTTGGTAAGCCCTCAACACTAGAGCAGCACGTATACTGGAGGTGGGTTGGCGCTGATTAGACTCTGGTCGCAGAATAGAATTAGCTGGAATTTGACAACGCCGTTACTGCCAAGGCCTTGACAGTTGAGAAAGTCGGGCAATACTCGTGGATGATAAGCTTAGGGTTCGACGATCCTAATAACTAAACATCGTACGACGCTGCCTCCAGTCGAAAGTATATCGCTGTCGGCGTTTCGGCTCCAATCCGCAGGTCAGTGGTGCCGCAAAACCCACACCCAAACTTGCTTGTGTTAAGCCGAAATGGACATCGCCACCAGGTTCGAGCACAACACCAACAGCGACCGCGCCCACATCTACGCCACTTCCGTCGAGAGTAGTACAAGCAGCGAATGTGGAACTCAGCCACACTTCCATAGCTGAGAGGACCTCCCAGACTGGATACGCTGGCAACCAGTAGAATGCCGCCGGTAGTGGTACGTCTCCTGACAAACGAGCGCGTGCTCCGCTTCTCAACAACCAGCATGATCGCACCGTACGTGAGCGTCGCCGTTATCCTCCTCATCTTCGTGGCCACATCCCCCGTTCTCGTAATTCTTGGATTATCTACCGCAGCGACACGACCCGCGAGCTGCGCGACACGGATCCATCGCTTACTGCCTTGGACATCTATAAGTCATCATCTTCGAACATATTGCCTATGAGACGAGAATTGTAGCGTACATCGCCTCCAGACTCTGGGCTGAGGAACTGCCTAATGCCAAAGTGCAGTACCAGCAGAAGGCCTAGCAGAAGTCGAGCACTTACATGGCTATGTATCCTGACTAATTACCGTTACACAGCTCGGTGCCCTTCCCTTCGCCACCCGAAGGTGGATTCCATGCTATTCTGGGATGGTATCCAAGCAACAATGCCAACGACGATGGCAAGGATCACCATCCCTGACTGAACGGGTTTTACATGTACCATCAACTTCCTATGTTCACTCCTTCTCACTTGGGATCGCGACAAACATGACTCGCATAGTCTACTTCGGCCGGCTAAATAAGTAGTAAATCGATTACGTCAAATATAGATAGTTGATACTACAGACAGATGGCCAAGAACGACGAGGAAGCTACCGTAGATTTGGTCGTCAACGACAAAGTACCCTCCGATCTCCCAATCGAGTCAATGCCTGTGCCAAGACAACGAAAGTCTTACCACGTCATGTCGCAAAGTATTTCGGCAACCCCGGTTGACTATAAAGTCTATGACCGGTGGAGGTGGGGTATAGCGTCCGTGAGGGAAAGAGAAATGGCCGGGAATTGTGTCATTGTCTACCTAACTTCGTATCATACCCCTAGACTCCAGCCTATGATTAGTGATTCAGGTGACCAAAGAGCCAATGCAGTCTATAAAAGGTATGAGGTATCAATATTCAATAACGACGTCGCCAGTGGAACCTAGGACAGTATACATCCATCAACCTTATCAACTTTCGAGAGACTCTACCTTACAAGTCATGCAAAGACCCAAACTCCTGATTCTTTTTCCCCGGTAAGGCAAACATTACACATCATGTCCAGATATCATAATTAGCTTAGCGCGCAAAGCCGGTAAGTCTCATATATATCCGACCGATCGTAATAAAAATCGTCGTGGACAAAACCTTGTGGGGTCTTGTCGAATAGAGTCGTGTTTATCACGGTGTCAATCAAGGACTCGGTCTGGAGACCGTAGGTGCCCTTCATGCCGCCGGAGCAAAAGGCTAAAACGCAGTTGATGATATCCTGTCGTCAAGCAAGTTCCGGCTAACTCATTGCGTATACCTGAGACGTGCTTGTAGGCTAGGTCCAGTCTGCAACCAAGGTCTTCCTGTCCCGGATCCTCAAGCTCAACATTCTTATCCTCCATGCTGGCGTCATGGCCAGGCCTGAAGGCCACACAATTTTCATGAGTTTTAGGAGTTTGAGCGGCATCTAAAATTTTAATATGTGAGAATGATTTCAGTAATGTTGTT